AGTATTTTGAAGTTAATGGAATTACAGGGGGTAAACGTGTACCTGCGCTCCTCAGTTTAATTGGGGGAAAGACCTATGCGTTACTGAGGAATCTCACAACACCAGATAAACCAAAGGACAAGAGCTTTAACGAAATTGTTAAGGTTCTTAAAGATCATCTATCGCCTAAACCGCTGGTAATAGCGGAACGATTTCGTTTCCACAAAAGAGAGCAAAAAGAAGGTGAAAGTGTTAATGAATATGTCGCACAAATCAGGAAACTTTCTGAATATTGTGACTTTCAAGATCTAAACGACACACTAAGGGACAGATTTGTGTGCGGACTCCGAGATGAACAGACCCAGAAGAAATTACTGTCCGTGCAGGGGCTCACCCTGGATAAGGCAATCCAAATAGCTGTCGCTATGGAAATTGCATCAAAAGACGCCTTGGAATTGCAGGGAAAAAGTCGCGAGTCTGGTGTCAACAAATTAAAATTCCAGAAATCGAAAGCAAGGTTTGAAAAACCGAAAAGTGGGAATTGTTACCGATGTAACAAAAGTGGCCACAGAGCAGAAGAATGCAGGTTCAAAGATGCAACATGTCACAAATGTAAGAAGAAAGGACATATAAAGGCGGCATGTCGTGCGAAGGATAAGTCCTTCCCGAAGAAAGTACATGCAGTGGATGAAGACGGCTGCTGTGACTTAGGGTTGTACTCTGTGCATACCGGGAAAAGGAACGAAATTATGGTGGACGTGTGTATTGACGAAAAAAAGGTCAATATGGAAGTCGACACCGGTTCTGCGCTCTCCATTGTTCCCGAAAAAGTTTTTACAGAACTGTTTCCCAACAGAAAACTGAAGGACACAAGCGTGACCTTAATAACTTAATCCGGAGAAAAACTGAAACCTCTTGGAGTAGCTGACGTAAACGTCGTGTACAGAGATCAACAAGAGAAATTAGAACTGTATGTTGTTTCCGAGGGAAAAGCGATACTTTTCGGGCGTGAATGGCTACGAAAAATCAAATTGGATTGGAGTTCCCTAAACAACGTTACACTTGATAACAACGAATTATCACAGAAGTTGGAGAAAATTCTTGATAAACACAGTGCCGTGTTTACAATTGAAACTGGATCCGTCAATGGAATTAAGGCGAATCTCATCATGAAGGAAAACGCTAAACCAGTATTTGTGAAAGCAAGATCGCTCGCTTACGCGCTAAAACCTAAAGTTGAAAAAGAGTTAGAACGACTTGAAAGTGAGAATGTCATTACAAAAGTTCCGACAAGTGAATGGGCCACGCCAATTGTGCCGATAGTTAAGAGATCAGGTGATATCCGAATTTGTGGGGATTTCAAAGTTACGATAAATCCGCAACTTGAAATAGAGCAATACCCTTTGCCTCGCATCGAGGACATATTCGCTTCGTTAGCCGGTGGACAGAAATTCTCAAAGATTGATCTAAAGAATGCATATTTGCAACTAGAAGTAGAAGAGGAATCAAAGAAGTTTCTTACAATCAACACGCATCGAGGATTGTACCGTTACAACCGACTTCTATTCGGGGTGGCGTCAGCACCTGCGATCTGGCAGCGCACTATTGACACAATATTGCAAGGATTAAATGGAGTTCAGTGTATTCTGGATGATATGGTTATTACGGGTAGGAATGATGCTGAACATCTGGAAAACTTACGTCAAGTTCTACAGAGACTGGAGGAATATAACTTGAGAGCGAATAAATCCAAGTGTCACTTCTTCAAAGATCAAATCGAGTATTGTGGTCATTTAATTGACAAACAAGGATTACACAAGACCAAGGATAAAATTAAAGCCGTATTGGATACCCCGGAGCCAACCAACACCACCCAACTCCGTGCATTTCTAGGGCTCGTCAATTACTATCACAAATTCCTTCCGAATCTATCATCCGTTGCACACCCGTTGCACAAACTCCTGGAAAAGGATGTCAAATGGCAGTGGACCAAAGAATGTCAGGAAGCGTTCGAGGAAGCAAAAAGGTTGGTAACCTCTGATCAAGTATTATGTCACTATGATCCAAACTTACCAATCAGGCTAGCGTGTGATGCGTCACCTTTCGGATTAGGGGCAGTGTTGTCACACGTGATGAAGGACGGGACGGAGCACCCAATCGCGTTCGCTTCAAGAACTTTGAACAAAGCTGAGAGAAATTACAGTCAAATTGACAAGGAAGCTCTAGGTATTGTCTTTGGAGTGAAGAAATTCCACACTTATCTGTATGGTCGCGAATTTACCTTGATAACCGATCATCAGCCGTTAGTGTCAATTTTCAATCCTAGGAAAGGAATTTCAGTAACCTCCGCAGCGCGAATGCAGAGACATGCTATATTTTTGAGTGGATATACGTACCACATTGAATATCGCAATACCAAGCGCCACACGAATGCAGACGGACTGTCAAGAATTCCCCAAGAAAAGGAGGAACTTGAGGCCGAGGAATTAACTGATGTGGCAGATATGTTTACACTCAGTCAAATGGAACAAATATCATGTCTTACGCACCAAGAAATTAGAAGAGAAACGTCTAAAGACAAATGTTTGTCAAAGGTGTACGACTGCATTGTTAATGGTTGGACTGAAAACGAGGATCCAAACCTAAATGCGTACTTTAATAGAAAGAATGAATTGACTGTGAGTCAAGGCTGCATCATGTGGGGATGCAGAGTTATCATTCCACAACGATTTCGGGAAAGAGTACTTGAAATGTTCCATTCAGCTCACCCTGGAATTGTGCGAATGAAACTTCTGACGAGAAGCTACGTTTGGTGGCCAGGAATCGATTTTGAAATCGAAAAGCTTGTAAAAGGTTGTGCTGGATGCCAGAAACATCGCCACAATCCGAAAATAGCGCCCTTACATCCATGGGAATGGCCGTCAGCGCCGTGGAAACGTATCCACATTGATTTCGCAGGACCATTTTTAGGACACATGTTTCTTATTGTCGTGGACGCACATTCAAAATGGCCAGAAGTTATTCCTATGCAGACAACGACGTCAACCAAAACGATAATTACTTTGCGTAATATCTTTGCAAGAAACGGATTACCGGAGCAGCTTGTTTCCGACAATGGCCCACAATTTGTGTCTGAAGAATTTCAAAAATTTATGAAACTAAACGGAATAAACCATATCCGATCAGCACCCTATCATCCTGCAACAAATGGTCTGGCAGAACGTTTTGTTCAAACCTTTAAACAAGGAATGAAAGCCATGGATAAAGAAAATGCGGACATTCATAAGAAGTTAGCAAATTTTCTTCTTACGTACCGTAACACACCTCATGCCACAACAAATGAAACGCCAGCGATGTTATTCATGGGGAGAAACCTTAGATGCCGTTTTGACCTTATCAAACCTGACCTGGGACGAACTGTAAATGATAAACAAATGAAAACTGCTATCACTACCAAAGCAGAGAAATTAAGAGAATTTAACACTGGACAGCACGTGGCCGTTAGAGATTACCGCGGGAAGGAGAAATGGACCAGCGGAGAAATCATTCAGCGCAAAGGACCGTTGAATTACGAAATCAAAACACAAGCAGGAGGAATTTGGAAGCGACACGCCGACCAAATCAGAGATGCCGAGTTCAAGGCCGATTCCAATGAAAATTCCGATGCGGTAATACCAATTATCGACGATAAAGCAGCTGACAGTGAAGCAGGCGAGACGTCTGACCAATCACCGCCGATAATTAATGCGCCGCCCGAACGAAGATATCCGCTGCGAACCAGGAAGCCCGTGGTCAAATTAAATTTGTGAATGGGTATGTGTGTAGCACCGTATGGGTAATAATAATTCCCATGACAGCAATAACTTAGCAGTGGTTGTAGTGCGCGTAGAAACAGAAGTTTCTTTTGCAATCACATTAGTTTTGTAAATAATAGATATGTAGTAAAAGTTATTTGTTGTATATCTTTACAAATTATTTCTTCTTAAGTATTTTCAAAATTAACGGTTAAATATCAATATTATTTTATTTACGTAAAAAAATAAGAAGGGAGGAAATGTTGTGTTTGGATATTTTAAGTGCATTAATAAACAAACCAGTGAACTGTTTACATTAACTTTATTATGGTTTCGGACACTGACTATCAATCCCAGGAATATCGAATTGCATGCTAAGGCTTATACACTGTACACATGTTTAGATATGATTCAGTCTAGAATAAAATGCTAATCGACATAGATGCCTTCTAGTCTCATTTAGTACAACACAAAAATTTCAAAATAGAAATGACTGTTTTTCATCATTTTACTAAAAAAAGATGAATTTCCATCATTATTAAAAATCAATTTAATGACTGAAAATCATCATTTTTAAAAATGATGGATTTCAATCACACCCCTGACTGGTTAAAGTGCTGAATGTTTGTAATACTTGAGATCTGTGCCTTTAAATAGAAAGTTTCAGTTTTAATAATTAAAAATGAAATTTTCTATTTATAGGCAAAAATCTCTTCAGATTTGATGAGATTGAAAGCTTTACATGCCAAACTTTAACCAAGATTACCACCTGAATATACAAAAAAATCTTTACTTCTAACATGTCTAACTATAAATTTCTTAATAAATTCTTAAACAAATCTCTGGCATGTTTTCGAATGGGATTGAGTGGAGGGGGGGGGGGCATCCACGATGCAACACTTACACTATGAAATACCAAATACACAATACATTACTTTTGGTCAGCTGTTGGTCTCTCTATTTTACAAATATCCATGTACCGTCTACAAATTTGGTCATTTTTGTGGTTGTGGATTTATTGATAAATCAAAGAATTAACATAGAACGGCTATAATAAAAAAACAAACTCCCAGGCTAACAAATCACTGCTTATCAATGAAATAAATTTGACACAATCACACATGGTCGATCAGCATGATCAGATGTGAATATCATTCGCCTCATCAGGATTTTTCTACACATCCCAACTCAAACAACACTAATAAAACAAAGAAATGGCTCTTTTACCTTCTTTTGGATGACGAGCTCATCTGGAAAGATTAAATCCTCTTTGTTGTGTTGAAATATTCACAAAAATGTCTGAAAAATATTTACCAGTTTCTATTTTATGCACTTCCTGTGGATGAAACCGGATATAGCTCAAGCGCCACAACTCGTGTTTTCTCAATGGTTCGAGACACCATGACCTTAATTGTGTACGAGAAAAATGGATTTTTAACAGAGCGCTTAGAACCTAATTAATTAAAAAAAAATTCAGTATTTTTTTTTTATTATTGATACCGCCATCTGCATCAACAAACGGTTGCATATATCAAGTATAAATGGCTAAACCAGAGAGAAAAGAAAAACGATTGGTCCAGACAAAACTGTTCTGTCCCATTTACTTAACCCTAGAGTTCACGTGAGGTCAAAACTCATTGATAGAGCGCAAGGTGATGAAAGAAAATTTTGATTTATGTTGTGATACCCCTGTTTTTGAAAATAAAATGGGTCGTAGCAAGATTTCTATTAGACCTAGCCTAACATTTTCGGCATTATGAATTCGAAATTTTTTATCAGTTTTTTAAAATTAATTAATAATAAAGAGGTTATACATGTTATATATACATTCTAATATAAAATGAAAAAAGTATATTCAACACTTTAAATAGGCTATTCATCGGCTAATGTACAAGTCATAATACTGAATGAAAAAAAGGAAATCAGACAATATTTTTTAATTGTACAATTTCTCTTTCTTTTCTTATATATAAACGAAACACATAATTTTTAAAAAGAATTAAGTTTTTGGGTTAGGGTTAGGTTCAAGTTTCTCTCAACATTACATGCGCGGATCTAGAGGGGGGGGGGGGTCGGGGGGTCGGGGGGTCAGGACCCCCCTGGAATTTACAAGGTTAAAAAAATGTATATACTAAAACAAGAACTGTTACCATGGACCCCCTTTGGAAAACACAAAACACAGACACACACCCCCCCCCTGGAAAAAATTTCTGGATCCGCGCCTGCATTATGAACACTGCTGTTTTAATGCATATGACATTATGTATCTTTAAATTTATACGTAATTAATTATTTGGGGAATGTTAAAGATTGAAATGGTGAATTTGCATGCCTATGACTTTTTGTATAAATTTCTGGCTGCTTAATATGCATGTATTATTACATGTAATAAACATCTATAGATATGTTTTTAATGTACAGTATTTTATTATGGTATTATATATATCCACACTCAGGGGATTGTTACGTCTTACCCATTATGACGTCACAATTACAAAGAGTTGATGTCACGGGCACCTGACGTTATTCATATTTCTTGTAAAAAAAAATATGTACCCCCTACCTAATATTATTATTAGGTAGGGTTGTATTTTTTCTATAACAAGAAAAATAAGTAACATCATGTGTCTGTGGTTGGTGTGTCTGTTTTTAGAAAGTCATGTCCGAGTTTTTCAAGCTTATAATAAGAAAGTCCAGGGACCCGTTTTACAAAAGGACCTGCGATTTAAGACCAAATTTAATTATTCGTATAATTTTTTTAATAAAGATTTTACCGAAAATTATTTAAAACTTTTTAAAAGGAATTTGGTAGGATATTTTTACACAAGCAATTTCAAAGAGAAATATTAATTTTGCAAAATATTACAACAGTCTGAAGTTTTTGGTCTTTGTCATAAGTTCTTTTGTAAAACGGGCCCCAGGTCTATCCGCATTTATATACTTTGACTACAGGTACTTGTATTGAAGATAAATTTTTAAGACATAGTATAATAATTATTATACCAATGGGTTAAAATTTATTTCTGAAAGAAGTGCCTGTTACTTTGACACCTGATGCCACATGAACCAATGGAAAATCTCGTTAAAATGTATGAAAAATTATAAGTATAAGCATTGCAAACTCTTTGTACGGACATGACAGTCCTTTAGGTGGCTTTAATCCGACTTACAACAAAACTGGGATGATAAATAATTTTTATACACCCCACATTTGTATGGTTATTTTAATATTATTTCAGTGACAATAATTTTACAAACATACTTTAAAAAAATGTGTAGCCCCCAAGAAGAAAATGCTAATTAAAAAAGCGACATTGAGATTATAATTATCTGATATTAATAAAGATGCCACTATACATTATCATCGCGTAAAGGTTAAAAGAATTGGAGGAGGACGACGAAAAATTATACGATTTACCGGTACTTGAAGGGTCATTGCCAGCCTTCTCACCTGTAATTTTTGTTCTCATTACACTACTGTACTAAATGCGATCATTTACCTCAGGTGTTTTATAATTATAAAATCTGTTAATTTTAAAATCTACAAATTACTAAGTTTAACAGCTAATATCTTTTTGAACACATGCATTAAAAATAAATGGGTACCTTATGGTTGATAAAAAATAATGAGAAAGACCGACCGAATTACTTTTAAAAAAGTGCGGAATGATTTAACAACGCGGAAGTCAAAAACAAAAGACTGCAGACCTATCGACTATCCTCTCCTGCCTGTTTACAACAAGTCACGTTCAAATGCGCACTTACCACGGGTCTCACGAAAAGTGCAAGAGTATAATAATTAACAGCATAATGTGAAGCATTTCTTCACTTTTTTAAATTTGTATCATACATATTTTTTTTTTATTTAGTGGAGCAACTGGGGACATCATTATTAGTGACACTTGTAACCTCTCTCTTTCTCTGTCTTACTTATATAGAATATATACAATATGAAACAAGTTTGAATTAAAACAAAGGAATTTGCAAATGACATGCACTCTTGTACAATGAGAATCGACATGGGAACTAAATTTCAACAACCTATTAATACCTTCATCCTCGAGTGTCTTGAATTTTCTTTAATGAAGTTGCTGAAACACGAATATCAGCAGTCTCGTTTAAAGTTATCATTTCGCAAGTTCCATGGTCGATACAATGACCTTGTCAGCAAATACAAATTATCATTGAGTCAAATGCTCACTGAGGTTTTTTTTTAATACTGAATGATTGTAAGTCCATTATCTATACACTGAATTGTCCACGGATTTCCCGTTGTATACCGACCGATCATGAAAAGGATCAGCACACGGCGAATGTGACCGGTCGGCAGGGGATGCTCACTCCTCCATGGCACCTGTTCCCAACTCTGATGTTTTTGAAAGTCCGTGTTTGCTCTGCTCTTGTTTGTTATTGTATCGGCTAAATTATTCCTCCTCCTCGGTTCTTAATTACAGCATATTTCACACCTTCGTCCTAAATTCGAGGTTAGTTTCGCTTTTGCTGTTAGTGCAAAAGAGGCAATTTGAAGACCGACTGTGGGGATTTCATGTTATTCTTTTTATTTTAAACTATAAGTTTTTTCCACAGGTACTTAAATTGTGGACAGGAACCCCCCTCCCCCCTTCGATATTCAACCCCGGGGCTTATTAGATATTTTTTTCCCACAAAATATATTAATTACACTTATTCAATTCACCATATGTACAATATGAAAAATTCGTCAAAACCCCAAAACAATCGCTCCACAAAAAACCCACTATATACATTATATAAGAGTATAGTGATGAATAAGTGTAATAAATATAATTTGTTAAAGAAATGTCCAATAAGCCCCGGGGTTGAATATCGAAGGTGGGGGGGGGGGGTCCTGTCAACAAGTCCCTGTGGTTTGTTCATACAGCATTTGTACCTCCATGAAAGACTTAATTATTATGTCATACTGTCAAACTGTAGGAGGAGTAGCATTTTGAAAGAATTTCACAGAAATTTCTACTTTTAGTAACCACGGCAGCACCATTCATCGAAATCAAAAACCGATGCAAAGAATTATGTATCTTAGTGTAGTCTACTTGTGTGCCAAGTTATACTGAAATCGGACCAAAACTGTAGGAGGAGTAGCATTTTGAAAGAATTTCACAGAAATTTCAATGTTTAGTAAACACGGCAATACCGTTCATCGAAATCAAAAACCGATGCACAGAATTATGTATCTTAGTGTAGTCTACTTGTGTGTCTAGTTATACTGAAATCGGACCAAAACTGTAGGAGGAGTAGCATTTTGAAAAAAATTTTACAGACAGACAGCCAGACACCCTTTGACCAGTAGAGCTAAAAATTAAGATAGATACTTTAGGCATAAAAGCATGTCAAATGTTGTTGTATGAATGTCGGATTGGTAAAGATGAAACACTTCAATTTCTTGCTATAGCTGAATGGCAAGGTGATATATCTGGATTTAAAATTCTTTCTTTTCATTTCAAATCCATTACACTGATAGCTAACATCGTCCTTTAGATAACAGTGAAGTTGCCGAACTGTACACATCTTAACGAGGTGTTATACAGTAGAGCACAAAGTCTATACAGATATATCTATATGTACTTATCTGTATCTATATGTACTTGGCTTCCAGATGAGGATAAATAATCACAACTTCATATGTAGATAACAAAGATATACCTGTAAATCACCTGATCACAGCATACATTCGGCTGCCATTACTGAAAACAAGGTAAATGGTTTGATTTTTAAAGAAATCTGATATAAAGTAGATTTTTTCATTTTTTTAAAAAAACATATTCACAATTTTAAACTGCTATTATCATTGTTATATATCAAACAGTCGGAATATTCCATATTTTTGCTCAGCTGGATATGTATTTTTCATCTGTCGGTTTGCAAAGTCCAACAAGGTCTTTTGAGACTCCTGTGACGTTTCATATCGTCGATCTCCTGACTGTCGGTGACAATTTGAGAGAGAATTAAGGGACAAAATCCTGAAAAACTCTGACAAGGAAAAATATAAAGTGTCTCCAAAAGCTGCAGTACTGTATCTCTCCGAAAAGATACATATTGACCGACCGGAGAGCTTTAAAACTGTCATCTCAAAATATTACTAACCGAGTGTTCCTAAAATATTTTTTCACTGTTTCCACAACAAAACATTCCTTATAGTTGTTTATCATAGCCTTCCTTGCCCTGAAATTGAGATCATCAAAAATTTTGATTAATTATCCTGCCATTTTGGTTTGCAGGATTATTCGACCCATCGCGCTTCGTACTGATGTAAACTACAGGAATACTTGATAGAAGAGTAAGGGATTTTTTGACTTTTTTTTTTTTTTTTTATAGATTTTTTGCAATTGAGGTAAGAATTTGGAAGAATTAAATCAGAACTGAGCGCATTTTTTGTGCGCAATAAATATACAGATTTTTCAAAGAGTGGCACTGTAGCTCTCCGGTCGGTCAATATGTATTTTTTCGGGGAGCTACAGTTCTGCAGCTATGTAGCTCCCCGAAATAAAAATTCTTGACAGACCGGTACAATTTTTCGGAGACAGTTACAGTTAGCAGCTAAGGGGAAATTAATATGACCCTACTTTTGATAATCTTTAATTAAGCAATGGAAGTTATATTGCCATAGCTAGCAACAACTAGAAGGACACAAGTTGCATCAAATGCAAATTTACAATGCTGTTCAAGTTTTTTTTTTAATCTCTCTCTCTCTCTCTCTCTCTCTCTCTCTCTCTCTCTCTCGCGTACCCTTTGGATTCTTTAACTTTTAAAATATAATCATCTTAGATATTTTCATTGACACATTTTAAACAAAATTTATGGTAAATAACGTTTTATTTGTGAGAACTTCATTTTTGCATAATTACTATAGTATGCGAGGCAATGTGCGCACGAAGACTTCAGTCTCCTATTTAGTATTCAGTCGGATTATTATATATAGAGCAATAATCTCAATTCGAGAAAATCTATCTCAACATTAGCTGCAGAACTGTAGCGTTATGGTTTTATATATTTGTCTTTGACCATGTTATGGTCAAAGACAAATATATAAAACCATAACGCTACAGATCTGCAGCTATCTCAACATCAGTTTATGATTATCTCGCGAAAATAAGATGTCGCTAAAATTTCCTAATCTACATTAATTCAATATATCTAAAATATAACTTGAATCAAACATTTTTTTTTAAAAATCGCACTAATTGATAAAACAGGTAGTGTCTATGGGCAGACTTCTTTGGAATGCAACATCACCGTGCCATAGCGTTACTATGATGCAATTATTCCGTAACGTATGATGATACGATTCCTTATGGAATTTTTACATGGAGATTTGACCAAGGTAAGTTAATGTCGTATTTGTATGCCTTAAACGACAAATAGCCCTAATTGCCTTAGCCGTTGCATTATAGGAATGCCACAAGCATCTGTTGACATAACGGACAATGTCCAGTGATGTGCCGTTTTTTAAAACACTTTGCACTTTTATAATAAAGAGGCTTAAAAGTTCGATTTAATCAAAGAACTTTTTTCCCAATTAAGTGACAAGATCAGCTACAAGTTTACCATAATGAAAATTCGTTGTTTTTCCATTTCACTCTAGAATTATGATGAAAATATTTATTTCATCGCTTTAAATATGGGTTGTTAGGAGTAACGTATGATGCAACGATTCCCATCATCAGTAACGTGCGATGCAAATATTCTTAAACAATTGTATTATTACACCAATATGTTGGATTTCTTTACTAGGACACGTTTCAAAGAAGGGTTAAAAAATTACTCATTTGTCTTCTTTTTATCACAGAATACCAAATGGTTAAGAAAAAAGCAAAACTTAACTACAGAACGGCTAAAAAAAGTACAGCAAGAATAAAGTCATTTCATCTCCTTACCCAACTCCGAAAAGAAGAAATTTTTCTACCCCATTTAAATCCAAAAATCGACATGTTGATACCCTAAACAGACTCACTGCAAAAAGTCCCTAATGCATTATTAGAGAATAATTGGACATTGAGTGAAGCCTATGGTCATGCTTTCAACAATTATTCACCGAAGTATGAGAGAATAATTACGAGAACTGCATTACCATCTGTGCATAAGCTACACTCTCAGTCACCTCGCTCCGTTGATGATATATTTCTTCAACAAGACAACTATCAAAACTTATTCCATAACAAATTGTGGGAATCGTTGCATCATACGTTACTTCTAATACAGAGTGGACTGATAAGCTTTGGGATACAAGTATCAAAGGAAGAACTTTTGAAGTTATTCAAAATCGTTTCATTAGATACGGCAAAATTTATCCTAGGAAATTTCTCCTCTTCGATCATTCCCTCTTCATTCCCTATCAATATAGAAATTATTATGGAATAAGTTCCTACTAGCCTTCCAGAAAGATTTTGTGTTTGACCTGTATCTCATTGTACTAGGCTCTTTACAACCATGAATCGTACAGTGTCTAGAAACAGCAAAAAAGCAATATTTTCTAGAGGGAACTTATCACTTGAAACAAGATCTAAAAAATATTCAAAGTCTTTTTTACAGTCAACTTTATCTAACTTTTGTAATACATTGACCAGCAAATCGTTTTGATAGTAGTCTTGTTGAAGAAATATATCATCAACGGAGCGAGGTGACTGAGAGTGTAGCTTATGCACAGATGGTAATGGAGTTCTCGTAATTATTCTCTCATACTTCGGAGAATAATTGTTGAAAGCATGACCATAGGCTTCACTCAATGTCCAATCATTCTCTAATAATGCACACTGGGGACTTTTTGCAGTGTTTCTGTTTGGGGTATCAACATTTCGATTTTTGGATTTAAATGGGGTACAAAAATTCTTCTTTTCGGAGTTGGGTAAGGAGATGAAATGACTTTATTCTTACTGTACTTTTTTTTCTTTTAGCCGTTCTATAGTCAAGTTTTGCTCTTTTTTTGATAAAAAGAAAGCTATGAGTAATTTTATTACCCTACTTAAAAACGTGTCCAAGTAAAGAAATCCAACATATTGGTATAATATTAAATACGATTGTTTAAGAATATTTGCATCGCACGTTACTGATGATGGGAATCGTTGCATCATACGTTACTCCTAATACCCATGTTAAAAGCGATTAAATAAATATTTTTATCACAATTCTAGAGTGAAATGGAAAAACAACGAATTTTCATTATGGTAAACATGTAGCTGATCTTGTAACTTGATTGGGAAAAAAGTTCTATGAATAAATCGAACTTTTAAGCCTCTTTATTATGAAAGTGCAAAGTGTTTAAGAAAACGGCACATCACTGGACATTGTCCGTTATGTCAACAGATGCTTGTGGCATTCCTATAATGCAACGGCTAAGGCAATTAGGGCTTTTTTGCGTTTAAGGCATACAAATACGACATTAACTTACCTTGGTCAAATCTCAATGTAAAAACTCCATAAGGAATCGTTTCATCATACGTTACGGAATAATTGCATCATAGTAACGCTATGGCACGGTGAACATAGAAGTTGTATTTAAAAAAGAACACGTTTTTTTCTGTTCTGAAATATACTTTTTAATTCACTGTAAACTGGTGTATTAACTTTACTTCAGGGTAACATTTACAAGCGATGGACCCCCGTACCAGTGCCCAGGACGTGATGCGATGTGACCTGTGTGAGACCGCTGTGGTACAGATGCACTGTGATACATGTCTTGTCAACTTGTGTAAGGCCTGTATAGGAGAACACATGATATCTGATCAAACCAAGAAACATGAAATTGTCACATTTCAGTCTAGGAAATCTACCCTCCTTTACCCTCGATGTAAAGTTCATGCAGATAACAGTTGTGAGTTTCATTGTAAGGAATGCGATATTCCGATTTGCTCCGCTTGTATTGTCTCAAAAAAACACAAAGATCATGACGTCCAGTTACTAAAAGACATCCTTGCCAAAAAGAAGGCAGCTATCCAGATAGAAATTAATGAATTGGATGAATCCATCTATCCCACCTACCAGGACATTGCCTCTGATGTACAAAACACAATGAGTCAGTTAGAAAAGGAATATGGAGATCTCTCAATAGCCATAACAAAACATGGAGAGGACTGGCACAGAGAAATTGACAAACTTGTCAAGAAACTTAAAGCTGAAGTTGATGAGATGAAAAACAAAGACTATGAAATTCTTAAGGCACATTTATCAAATGTACAAACATGCACCTCTAAGATAAATGAAGATATTAATTCTCTGCACGAAATATTAGATTCTACAGACATATCTAAAGTGTTAAAATTCCCATTAGACAGTAAGAGATATAGAATGCTTCCGTCTAAATTAAACATAACAATGGCAAAATTTTCACCATTCTCTGTACAGGAAAGGAGCTCAGAAGCGTTTGGAAAAATAATTTCACCAACGATATCATCCGATAACCATGGTTACAGCATAAGAGCAGTACAGGGATCGTTATTAGGTGATGAAAACTCTACTTTACAAAATAAGAGAACAGAAGCTGGATCCTCCCCTCCAGTCAAACAGCTGCTTGATGAACCAGAGACTGTCACCATCATAAACACTGGGTATGGATACCTTTACAATGTGGCCTGTCTTAGTGATGAAGAAATCTGGACAAGTGGACTTGACAGCACCATGAACCTCTACAGCATCAATCAGGGATCACTACTCAAGTCAATTACAATCAAGTCAGGGAACAAACCATCGGGCATAGCAGTGACAAAAAGTGGAGATCTAGTTTATACTGATTACGATGATAGAGCTGTGAATATTGTGAAGAATGAGAAGATAGAGGAGGTGATCAGACTACAGAACTGGAGACCTTGGGGTGTCTGTAGTACCTCCTCTGGTGACCTCCTGGTTATCATGTACAGTGATGATTACAAACAAACAAAAGTTGTCCGTTACTCTGGCTCCACAGAGAAACAAACCATTCAGTTTGATGATAAAGGTAAACCTCTCTATTTATCTGGTGGTGATTATTACAGATACATAACTGAGAACAGGAACCTGGATATCTGTGTGTCTGACGGGGGAGCTAGAGTAGTAGTGGTGGTCAATCAGGCCGGGAAACTGAGATTCAGGTACACTGGACATACTCCTGCTCCAAAGAACAAATCATTCAGTCCACGAGGAATCACCACAGATAGTCAGAGTCACACCCTTACAGCTGATGTTAACAATGAGTGTGTCCACATCATAGACCAGGATGGACAGTTCCTCCGTTACATAGACTGTGGACTGAGTGAACCCAAGGGACTGTGTACAGATACAAATGACAATCTGTTGGTTGCTCAGTATAGAAATAAACAAGTGAGGAAAATTAAATATCAAAATTAATCTCAATTGAAGCTGACTACAAATATGAAGGATACATTTGAGTAAACAAATAAATATTTCTGTGTATTCTTGCACTTTCAATTGGTCAATTAAAATTATTTTATAGTTCACATATAATATGAACAAGAGTGAATACAAAAACAGACACCTGATTAAGGAATCTTTTTCTTTGGAATTTGAGACTGGCAATTAAATTAGAAATGTTCAATTTGTGAAGAGAAAAGAAAAATATTTTTCAAAATATCATAAAGATTCTAAGCACATATTAGCTACAAGGCACTTCCTTTTCTTTACTGACTGACAAAAATATTTGTAATGCACGTTCAACAAATGATTCCACTGTAATGTACTTTAATTCTTTTTTCTGCACAATATTTTAAGTTTTAAAAATGTACATTCCTTAACAAAATATTTTTTAAAAATTCTATTAATTATTAAATCATGTCAATGGTGTTTTTTATACATTAAATTCTTCAATAATCTATTTTTTCCTCTTCTTGTTCTGAAATGTCTGTGTTTTAGATTTAACAGAGTGAATAAGAGAGGATATGCTCTCCGAGTCTGCCTTCCCAGATTTCCCCGAGTGTCCAGTGCTTATATTATCACTCTCTGATTTCCGTTTCTGTCCGCTGACAGTTTTCTGGGTTTTTCCTGACGTCCTTCTCTTTAGTTTCTCTTCAATAATTGCCTCCATTGATTTAGTCTTTTTAAATTCTGGTGCCGACGGATCAATGTTGTACAGATGGGAATCAAAAATGGCGGTAAATCTGTCGTCCTTCACATTTATCTGAAATTGAAAAATTACCTATGAAATCTACATGTATCTGAAACTGATTAATTGTCTTATTATTTTTCTAAAAAAACCATCAATTATATTGATGAAATTTCTTTGAAATCTGTTAATTTTCATGAAATTTAACTGAAACAATTGTATGAAATGAACATGACCTGACTCCATTATACTCGAAAGAGAGAAATTTGTTGAATCAACTCGGGGGAGGGGGGTTGTTAAGGATTTTTCATACCTGAAAATCTCCCTCTGGTTTTTGATCCCCTGGTGATTTCTTCTTTTTGTATGAGTCTTTCATGATTGACTTCAGATTGAAATGTTTACTGTTGTCAGTTTCTTCATCCATCATCAGAAGTTCCAGTTCACCCTGAAAAATTCAAATACAAATATTTACAAACTTAGGTCTGTTTCTTGTATTTTTGGGAGACCATTTTCTTTGAAAAGCCTGTAACAAGATGTTTATAAATACTTTGATTTTTTTATCTCCTGACCCTGACCTTGAAGTTTGATTACTTTTCTAAAACTAAAACCTTGCTCATGACTTTTGAATGAGAAGAGAAAGGGCTTTCTTATTCGACCTTTGTATTACCTGTGGCAATTTCTTTCTAAATATACTATGATTTTTTACCCCATGACCTTAAAGTTTGACCTACTTTTTAAAAAAAATTAAAGACTTAAAATTGGCTATAACTTTTGAGTGAGAGGAGAAAGGGCTATTACATCACCTGTTATTATATCACCTGTGTCAACACCTTTTTAAATACACTCTGATTTGTTTACATTGTGACCCTGACCTTGAAGTTCGACCTACTTTTCAAAATCTTAAACCTTGCTAATGACTTTTGCATGAGAAAACATAAGGCTTTCAAATCAATGTATTGCTTGTGACATAACTTTCTAACTACATTTGTGTCCTTGTCCTTGAAGTTTGACCTAATTTTCAAAATATGTAGATTTTTCCTTATAAGCTTTTTTAAGGGCTTTCATGTTTGACATGTGAATTTCCTGTGACAAGATATCTCCCAGGATGCTTTGATTTCTGATTCCTTGACCTTGACCTTCACAATTGACCTAATATCTTTTTAAAAATCAAATTCGGTGATAACTTCTGAATGACATATGAAAGGGTGATCAAATTTGACACAATATGCCATAAAAAATGCATGTACAGTGAAACCTGTCTAATCAGACATGCACTGGGAGACAAATTTTGTGTCGGAATAGACAGGGTGTCGGATTGCACAGTGTTAAAAACAAGGAAAATACTAAAATGGGAAAGAAATTTAACGTCGGAATTCACAGTGTGTCGGATTATTCAGGTGTCGGATTAGACAGTTTTCACTGTAGATACAACATTAAATGGATCATTGGAACCCTACCTCTCCATCTTTTGTCACTGACTTTGATGTTTTCTCTTTCCTTTTTTTCTTCTTTGTCATCTTAGATTCAGCTAGTAAAGTGATAAGTTTAAAAATGTAATGTTCATCATATATTAATACACACATTATAATCAGATCATCATTTTTAAAAACACCTTTTGATAAATACTTTATACCAATGATTTTAAAAAGAGATAATTTTGAAAGACTTATCCCCCACATCCCCCTTGGAATATACCCAAAACACAACTTGATCAAGATATTCATATGATAAATCTGTATACCAAATGGCATATTTCAGTTTGTGCAACCTTTGCAAAGAAAATAAGTTGAAACTGCTGATGGACCAAAAGACAGACAAAAACAAAACAATGTGCCCTCCTTTCTTCCAAGGAGGGGGGGGGGGGGGGCACAAAAATTACATTTGCATGTCATGTCTCAATTTGAGTTTAATGTATCCATCTCTGAGAGAAATTTATCCTACTAATATCCAGTTCCTTTCAGATCTAAGATATCATACAATTCTGTATTTATTCCAGTAAATATACCTTTTGGTTTTCTGTCTACTTCTTCATCACTGTCCAGACTCTGATTGAAGAAAGGATCCTCGCCTACACCAGCTGGTAGATCGTCATCACTGAAGGCTGCCCTCTCCTCTGGTTCTTTATCACTCGTCATCTGATCAACATCAGAAGAAAGATATGTTTATATGTTGATGGACTATTCTCATGAATACATACTGACTACACTTGAAGATTTAGACTGCTTAAAACAGGGCAAAAGATTTACAAAACAGTCAAAAAGATCTCTCTCTCTCTTACTTTTCTGTTCATTCTTTCTTCTCTCTCTCTTACTTTTCTGTTCATTCTTTCTTCTTTCTTTCTCTGTCTCTTCTCTTTTTTCTTCATCAGATACTGGTCCCATGGAGTCTGGTCTTTTGTCTTTTCTTTATGTTTCACAATCTTCTCTGTTGTCTCTTTTAAACCTTTCAAAGATAATTAATTCTGAGGAATCAGTCTTAATTGCTTTGGGACTATGCACTACAATGTTGACATCTACATAAAGGTTAAAAAGTAAAACACATGATATCCTTGCTGAAAAAACAATTCAGGCAAAATATTTGTTGAAAAACTTTATTCTGCTTACATATGTATAGACAGACCAGCATGCAACATATAGGATGAATGACCAAAATAATCATAATTCTTCCTAAACTATTCCATTTCCTCCACCCTACAATTCAACAAATAATGACCAAGTTTGATAGTTTTTGGTTGCTATGGATACCTGGTTCCCATGTGACCTCCATTTCGACCTCTTTCTTTTTCTTCTGGTCTTTGTCGTCATCTAACGACTAGAGGAGACTGCGGTATTTCTCTATCTGTCTCTCCTCATTGTCATCTTCATTATCATTGTCATCATCAACAACATCTAGTATAAAGGTAAGAAAAATAAATGTAGTTAAAAATGAAGCTGGCCATGTTTAATCATGGTGTTAGTATGTTTTACAATACATCTTTACAGTAAAAAAATCATATAAAGGCTATGAATTAAGGGGGATGTACAAGCCATATTGGATCTAGTCTGGTGTAAAATAAGAAATACCAAGAATGCGCTTAATACTCTACTAAACTAGCCCAAAGATACCCAAAGTGCTAATGCACTAATTACCTACTATTAGAGACCAAAATCAGTTAATAATTAAGTTTATTTTGTTTTAATTAGGAGGAAATTAATCATGTTAGAACTGCGCAGCTACAGCATTCACGAGATGAAAAATGCATTGAATATAGTGTTAGTTTGATTCATTGATAATATGGCTACAACCATTTGTTTCGCGTTTTCCTTGTCATTATCCATAATTCTTGAAAATTTGATTTTTCATATGGGTGTCTTCCTGAGGCCATGTGTTTATTTCGTCCGCCATTCCTCTGTCACACAGAGTTCGAATAGCATTGGTTTTAGAATAAATGCGACCATAATAACATCAAGACAAGAAATTACTAAGTAATAATCATTAGGTTATATTACTTACTACTTTTATTTGTTGCATTGCATCGTCTGATTAATGAAAAAAAGCGATTTTAACCCCACTCCAGCAAATCGGGAAAAACTGTTCTGTTTACAGCTCGAGTTTCCTCGATAATATCATTCCACTGAGCACGTGGTTGGCATGTGCATATATCTGCTGTGGATAGATGAGTTTATTACCATGATTATATTTAATTTTTCATGGAACAAGTCTTGATGATTTGTTGGTTTCATTAAAACTCAAGAAAAAAGATAAAACATGTCCTAAACATATGTGATTACGGAGGGTCTTTTTTCTGTGGCGATAGAAGTTATTTTCAAATGGGGCACTGCAAGGAGGATGCTTAGCATTTAATTTGAAAATGTTAAACAATATGCGGTGCATGAAAAACAAATTGTAATTACATGTACATGTCTTACATTCGAAAAGTTGGTACATGTGTCTATTTTGTTTAGCACTTAGATAGAAAAAATAGGCAGTTATAGGATTTCCTTCAGGCACCTCACATAAATAGCTAGATTGTTTGCAATGAACCACACATTGTATGGAGTAATGTTTGGACATAAAAACGCATCATGTCTCATTATGTTGACAACATTGTAAGCTCTCGCTCATTGAACATACGAAGCTTGATAAAATATATTGAGTTGTTTCTTTGAAATTTAGAAGCAAGCACAATGTTTGCGAAGAAAAGTCCATTGCATACGCTATGTCTATCACGCAAAAAAAATGAGAGGCTAACCCCCCCCAAAAAAAAGAAATCCTATGTTTGTTTTTCAAAATAGTGCTAAAGATTGAAAATTTTTGCATTACTAAGTATGTGATGGAACATGTACTAGCCTTATAAGACAATTTGTTATACAAATATTTGGTTGCCCTCTCTCCCGATCTACTGCCTAGAAATGGCCCGACTCATTTTTTTTTTTACATCCCATTACATGTTTTTTTTTCTTCCGTCAACGAATATGTTTAAAATTTTAGGAATTTTTTTCTCACCTATAAATACGGACCCAATAATTTTTCCCTGAGTTGGGAGGACCACCAAACGTCAT